TAATAATAATAATAATAATAATAATATCATTACTTTAAGAGAGTTTACGGGGTCCATGATGAAAATTATTGTACAACACGTGGTTGCACCATTGTTTGTCTGTCTATCTATCTGTCTGTCTATATTTTTTTTTCTTTCTCTCTCTCTCGTTCTTTCTCTCCCTTTCCCTTTATCATGCTTTCCTCCTCAATAATTTCATGTCCACATCCACTTATAATAAACAAATAATAAATATTTGAATTTGATATTTTGTGTTGGATACAATGAGATGCACTGTTACATAAAAAAAATTACAATAATAGAAAGTGATAGCCATTGTTTGAATCAAGTCATGTATAAAGTATATTTTAATATAATTCACTTTCACTTTCCTGATTTGTGCCAGATAGCTCAATAATATTGTTGTTTTAAACATTACTCCTTGAAAATTACATCCAGAGAGAGAATACTGTTGATGAGATCTATGAATGCCCCAGTGGATGTGGGAAACACTAACTGGCTCATTGTAGCATTCCTTATATAGTGACTTACCACCACATTGGAGAACTGTACAAATGAACCCAATAAACAGCCAAGCTTTAATAAAGAATTCAGTATGACTGATTTGAGAAAAGACATTAAATTAGAACATATTTTTCTTATTTCCTCAGAGCTTAAAACTGTGACAGTGACATGCTATTATTGTCACAGTACATTGATGATACTGACATTCTATAAAAAGTGAGATTATATCTCTTTGCACACAGCAGAAAAGCAGCGTCCATCAATACATCTTTCTCCACACTTTTTTTCATGAAATTTTTATTATAAAGATATTTGAACATGAACTTCTTTTAAGAACTATGGAGCAGCGTACATACTTCATTCTTGGTGTTGTTGAAATATAACAAAATATAACTAAACACAATATAGGCCATTTCAAAGGTAGAGTATTTTATCCCTCATCAAGAACATAGAGCTGAAAAGAAATATTCCCAGTAGGAAGAGACAAATAATTTGAACCCCATTTGGGCTTGAACCCAAACTTTTGCATGGCAGGTAAAAACTTGAAACTCACAGCACAACATCAGAAAGCATGCACATTTCAGTCACACATTACAAGTGCTGGTGGCCAAACAATATACTGACCTGCTGTGCTCCGTTATCAAACTGTATGAGAAGCTCGTCTTTAAACTCAAGTTTCCTCTCTACTGTCTCATCTTCACTTTCTTCTTTCCTCTCAGGGAATGAATTGTTGTGCAGAATTGATGGGGAGACTTTAAAAGCCACTTTCACCTGCAGAGTAGAGGTATGTATCATTATGCAAAAATTATGCAACCCTTGTTCATATATAGCTTTTCTTTTGACCAGCTTAATGCTCTGCTAGACATTGAATTAACTAAGATTCATTTGGGGGGAGGGTGGTTTCGATACTTTGGGATTTTGGGGGTCAATTTTTTGCTACATCAGATCCTCAGTCGACATACCAGAAGGAAAGAAAGATAGACAACAATATAAATATGGAGAAAAGACACCATTACTATGTCAAACAAATTGAAGCATGTGAGCGGCATCCCACTGGCATGGGCAGTACACCCTCACCCCCCCCCCCTCAAGACTGAATAGTGGAACATTTATAAACTCCTGTCTTCTTGGTACATACCCACATCTTGATCTCCTTCTTCTTCTCATACCTCTGCTAGAGCTCAGGAAGTAACTGACAGCAAGATATTTACCTCACAGTACAATTGTCTTATTTTTGTAAACAAAATATGTCACTCTGTAAAAACAGTATCAAAAGCACGATAATGGAGATGTCACATCAGAGCTCTTTTTCAGTATCCCAAATAGAATAGTGATCAAAGCAACAATATTTGTTTTAATTTTGTGATAAATCCAGTCATTGTCATTTTTAGGGTGTGATTCATTCAGTCGATCACAATCAAACTGTTCTTTAAAAATGTTTTACCACATGACAGAGAGGCATGCAGTAACGAATCACAGAATCTAAATATTCTTTTTCTTCTTCAAATGCCACAACAGACATCAGCGGCCATGGATCACCACTCATTTCTTGGGTCAGATGCTCTCAGATACTGGCTCTATAATAATGCACACAAAAAATACAACTTTAAAGTATGACATGCCATATAACAAAAAAAGTAGAAGTACATGTTACCATAAAGTTATGCCTGGGGTTTAGAGAGCAGAAAGAAGTAGATAGCCCTCTTGTCAGTCCTTCAGCATTGCTGGATGGGTCCAGGTCCACCAGAAGAAAAGGTTCTTCCACTTTGAGTCTGAAGGTCAGTGGGGTCAAAGTGTTGTTGGACAGCATGGTGGAACAGACACGCAGCGATTCAGAAGTGACCTGAAACATGGGGAAACAAAGGAAACTGTTGAAAATTTGGTAATTAAAATAAGTTTACATGTTTCAAGTTTTTTTAATGAGTTTTTAAATGAATTTAATGCTCATTTAGATGTAAATAGGATATTTTGAATGAAACATCCCATACTGTTAGGTTTTGTGAATTTACTTTCCTAAATCCATAATCAGGCTAGTACAAGAGAGATGGACAGAAGAAGCAGTTAGTAATCAGAGATGTTGTGCCTATTCCCAGAGAGACTATATATAAGTAGGGCAGCTGCACCTCATGTGGAGGGGAGAGTAGACTATCTTTATCCTCCAGTCTACTTAAGGTCAGCATATCTAAAATTAGGCATTTGCAAAAAAAAGTGACTGCTCAGAAGTAGAAGAATAAAGGAAAAAGAATAATTATGTCACAAGTCTTATCGTATTACATATATCCTTCATGGACATCAAAAAGACTATTTTTTAAATTCTTATACCATTGTTTACATTGTTGTCAAATGCCCATTGATCAGCATCTGACACCCAGACTACAAAAAACTAAATATGAGACAAGAAACAAATTTTGATGGGTTTACTGAGTAGGCATATTTACCTTATTTCCCTTTATGATGTCACTCATGGCTGACCTGTAGCACATGCCCTCATCATCTGTTTCTTCTACAGTCAGGCTGTCAAGAGAATGACACAATGATAAAAGGACAAATCACAATACTTTCCTCTACATACATGACATGCAAGGGGAAGAAAAAATAATTACCCAAATGATGCAGCTTTTCAGTTTGGGAAAAAATGTCTACTGCACTTAATAAAAGAGGGAAAAAATTGACAAAAGCATCAGTGCTTTAAAGTTATGCCCATTTTTCAAAAGTAAAAGTTGTTCATAACCACAAGGAAAAAGACATGCTGTAAGCACAAATCATTGACTTACAGAGCAGGCTTCAAGTGAGCTGTGAAGTCAAGTCTTAGTACATCTGCCTCATATGCTTCCTGCCTGTTTACTTTAGTCTTGTTTGCATCCTGGACCACAGAAAAAGATCAGGTCATTGAAAAATCAAAGCATAGTTCAAACACGCAGAAACTATTCATAGAATGGAGACAAAAATACTATTAATTCATTTTCTCAAAGGTACTTTCCCAACACAAATTATGATACACTGGAGTCCACTAATAACGAGTCCGGAAAAAACGAGAAGTCTGTTATAAAGGCACTATTCTAAAAACCCCGGTTTTTTTCTCCTCTTAACCATTGTAAACAAAATACTGCTATAGCGCTATCAGACACACTTGTGAATCGGTTATAGCGGAATATTGTTGCTGCTGTGCACATGGCATAGGCCAATTATACATAATGCAAGACCTCGCCAGTTGAGAAGCTTCTTGCTGATGTTTCGAAACGAAGAATAGGAGAGCCCATGTGTGTCAACAATGAAGGCCGGAGCAACTGAGTAGGGAAGGTGTGGCATGCGCAGACAGGCAAAATGCATTGCGTGATAGGTCAGTTTAGATTATCAAGGCCTGCCATGCCTCTCACTTCTCCGATGCAGGGATGGAGAGGTCACAGCAATGTGATGGATGGAGCGAATGTGTGACGTGCACAAGCAGACAGAATGCACCACAGGGTGGGGTGGGGTGGGGGGAAAACACAGCAGGCGAGTTAGCCCAGAGCCCTTTCTTCCTGATCGCTAACGCCGAGCTGTCAGTCCACATCGCTAGATCTAATATTAGAGAAACAAACCTGATTCGATTTTTGATCAAGTAAGACCTAGAGGTCATGTTGAAACAAAATCATCATCAAGGGAGATATCAAAAGGAAAAACAGAACACCAAACTCATAGATTAGGCCTACTTTACAGTTTCCCTTGAATTTATTACTGGATCCCTTATAGTGAGAATCCTGCTAAAACGGACATTTTGCTTCGGTCCCCTCCCTCTCATTATAACAGGATTCCACTGTACAGAGATTTATGTCTTTCAAACCATGTAGGCCTATAGAAATCCTTTACATTGACGACAGCACATAAGTATAACAGCTTAAAATTTCCCTAAATCTCTATTTTGAAATAAACTATGATGCATAGAAATTGTCAATTTTGAGAAAAAAAAGAAATCAAAAATAATTTTCTCTAAATCCTTTTCATTTTTGCCCCACACTCCCTTGACCTTAAGGCTGACTGTGGCAAATTCTCAACACTGAAAAGGAAAAACCATTCCTGCCTACCTCATTGTCCAGACTCATAAACCCAAGGGCATATCCAAAGCAGTCCATTTCCTCAGCAACTTCACTAGTAGGCAATGGACTGAATGTCAGGTCAACAAGGCTGCTGCTTTGAGCTGGTATCACCTGCATAGAAACATTTCTTTCTATTAAACAGTTGGTGACATACATGTAGCCCCACAATCTGCCAGTACCCACACCAATACAGCATACACAAAATCACGATACATACATACATAATATACATAGATTCACTTCAACCTATTTGCAATAAATCAAACCCAGAACTTAATGATGACACACAGAATTTTAAAGGTTTCTAAACTCAGTGTTCTCTGTCTAAGTGCTCAATAATGAGCATCAAAACAGGCATTGGGGTAAATATGATCTGAGCCACATTACACTGATCATCCCTCGATCAAGTCTGATCAATCCCCCCCCCCCCTTACTCTGAAATCAACAAGAGTGATGCCAGTAAGACAGGTGTCTGTACTAACAAATTGTAAATCAGGTTAACCAATTACATTGCCTCAAACACATTGCCACATTGCATTATTCTAGTGCTGAGTCCAACCCCTGTATGCTCATATTCTTGAAATATGTTTGCTCCATTGAGGGAAGCTTCATATCATATAAATTTGGTTTTCAAAAAAAACTTTACACGTAGAGCATAATGCATTTGCACAAAAGCATTTTCTTTAAGTAGAATCATGAAGAATTGAAAAAAAGCCAATAAAACTGATTTTTACAAACAGCACAACCAACAGTAGTAACGGAAGTGTTAGAGCAGAAAAGAAGAAAATTAAATAACAGAATATAGTAACAGCTTTTTGAAAGAACGATCTTGAAGAAAATAGTACTGAATTGGCAACAGAGATAACATTTAGAAAAAAACAACCTTGACTCAAAATTCTGTACCATTTGAGCTGGCTTGATAGTGTAGGGTTTGGGCACAACAACCCCATCATGTGGCCTCACATAACACGAGACAATCTTGGGCCTGTCTTCCTCCGAGGGATGACTTGACAGCATGCTGTCGTTCTGTCCCCGGCTCAGGAGACTGGCACTCAGCACAGAGGTGTCCGGCGAGTTCAGAATCACGTCCATGTTGGGCGGACTCAGAGCTGGCTCTGAGGAACACATGTGACATCGGTTGTTGCTATAGAAACACATGTGACAGCAATTATGTGACACCAGTCATGTTACACCAGTCATGTGACACCAGTCATGTGACATCAGTTGTTGCTATAGGAACACATGTGACACCAGTACTTGCTCTAGGAACACATGTGACACCATTACTTGCTCTAGGAACACATGTGACACCAATTCTTGCTATAGAAACACATGTGACACCAGTCATGTGACATCAGTTGTTATAGGAACACATATGTGACACCAGTACTTGCTCTAGGAACACATGTGACACCATTACTTGCTTTAGGAACACATGTGACACCAATTCTTGCTATAGGAACACATGTGACACCATTACTTGCTCTAGGAACACATGTGACACCAATTCTTGCTATAGGAACACATGTGACACCAGTCATGTGACATCAGTTGTTGCTATAGGAACACATGTGACACCAGTTATGTGACACCAGTCATGTGACACCATTTGTTGCTATAGAAAGACATGTGACAGCAGTTATGTGACACTAGTCATGTGACAGCAGTTTTGTGACACCAGTCACGTGACACCAGTTGTTGCTATAGGAACACATGTGACAGCAGTTCTGGCGTCGGCTGACAAAACGCCTTTTTTTATTCACAGTAGTTTCAAGAAAAATGGCATTTTGTCAGTGTAACCATTAAAGAACAAGGCGTTCTTCCGAAATTTGAATTCTAATTTATTCAAAAACTAGTCACAGTCTCATTTTGATTTTTTTCACACTTGTAGAATAACTGATCAGGCTATCAATTTAGTAAATTTAACAAATTGGCACCAAAAACGGAAAAAAGCATCTTGTCAGCTAACGGCAGAGTTGGTGTTAAAGTTTCACTCACATGCAAAAAAGAAATCACAAAAAAGTCAAAGCTTTCCTTTACACTGTAAACAACCATTGTTCAGTACAGAGTCTCAAAATAAAAAAATAATAAAGATGATAATACTCTTTGCTCAAAATTGATCCAAATCTTCAAAATTGCAAATTAAATCCAGGTATGTTGATGCTCATGGCTTCCTATGCAGGTATATGGCATTTATATTTATCAGAGGTAGGGTCATGCCAAGATTTCTTGAATATATATATATAATACTCTGTCACATTTTTAAGTATACACATTTTAAAACTCAGTTTTAGAAAATCCAAGCTACCAATTACCTTCAAATTTTCACACTGACTACGTAGTGATATACCTGTCACTGGTGAGTTGTTTTAAGATGTCTGAATGCACGAGTACTTTTGTTACTGTATGCGTTTTTTTTTTACTTTTTTAGAATAACTCTTGACAGAGAAATGATTTGTTAAAAAAATAAATACACATCAAAGCTTTGTCATTTTAGTAACAATTCGTCAATGATGAAACTTGTCTAAGTTAGTTTCAAGATACCACGCCTAAAAGAAAATGTGCGAAATAAGCCTGTTGGAATGATCTGCGGGGGTGCCTCAGTATCCACTGTAGCGAGACATCTTAAATGTAAAAAGAAAAACAGTGAAGACAACAATGGATTGTGAGAGAACAACAGGATCACAAAAGGATCGACCCCGTCGACTTGGGAGAAGAAAAACTACTCCAAGAGAGGTTCTTTTATACATCTGTCGCAGCTACGGAATCGTTTCAAAACAGCAAAACAAACCAGATATGAGATGTAAAACATGCGATAACACCAGTCTCAGACACTTCCTCAACTTGACAGAGAATTGCATGAAGAGTGGAATAACATCCCTCAACAGGTAGTGCAGCAATTGATTGATTCCATGCGGCGACAATGTCAGGCCATCATCAATACAAGAGGACATCATACACGTTACTGATCTTGTTAATTTTGTAGACCACCCCCACACACTTGTAAGTCGGGAATAAACCTGTTAGGTTAACTTTCGGTATTGTTGTTGGGTTTTTTTCATTTTTAAAATTGATTGAATTAGTATTCCTGAATTTTTTTAAAATATCGGCTCATTGTGAAACTAGCTATTTGCATTTAACACAGTGTATATTTAACAAAGTGACAGAGTATATACTTATACACTCAATGCATACACTAAAGCTCAAATGTTTTACCTTTTTTCTTCTCAGGAATGATTTCATTTCCAAATTTATCCCTTGGAGGGAAGGCTCTGCCAAAGCAAGTAATGAAGTTGATCAGCTTGTCTGGGTTGTTTTCTTGCTTAAATACCTGCCAGTCTACACGCACATCTGGAACAGAAAAGATAGGCAATAGATTTTTTTCCTCCAACACAAAATGACATCAGAGTGACTGTTCTCCCTCCAAGACTATCCAGTAAATAAAAGGGACTAGCACTTGTCATTTGAAAACAGTCAAATTGAAGATAAAACACCCTTGCATTGTTGAATAGAGTACAGAAATAAGAACAACATAAATTTCTCGCCACGCCGTTTGTAAATGAATGAAAAGTCCCAAAATGTTTTTTTTAAATTCAGCGTAGATGCTTTAAGCATCAGATTCTTAAAAGCCACTGACAACACAACATTAAAGAAACATCCCTGTGGCCAACACAGTTGACTTTACCATGAGTCCATCCTTCTTTTTTAAGATAACATTGCTTTTACATCCTTTGTAATGGAGATGTAGAAAATCCTTCAATCATTGAAATTTCTGTATGAGATACAAGCCACTATACAAAATAAACGCTCATTCAACTTTTTTTTAAAAGGTTTGATAGAAATGCAATAAATTATGGTACTTTTTAAATCCTTCCATGGTCAAGACAGACCAGATCTCATAAACCAGGTCTTTACAATGCTCATTGAGATAGACGTTACACACACCTATATTTCTAAAAATACTTCATATCCTTTTACCTGAGGCACACAACATTTTAACATGAAAGAGATACTTGTAATGAGCTGCAAGTGTAGCCTCATATCCACGTGAAGAAGGTATTCAAAGAGGGATGGGACAAATTAATAACTGTCAATATACCACTTGGTACAATTTAGTAAAATGTGAAGTCTGCCCTCCCGAAATCAAGTGATTTTTGCATGAGCATACACCAGAAACAAGAGAGCCGATCCTGGAAGTGACTGTACACAAGATTTCTAGCTACTTGCCAAACCACTTACCCACTCAAAATTTGAAAAATCAATAATCATTTATACTTAACTATGCTATTAACTCTTTTAGTATGATGATCTATCAGCACATGGCTGTATCGTGTACTGAAAGGCAGTGCTGTATCGGTACACGGTACTGAAAGAGTTAAGCAGCATTTTCTTTTCAATTGTATGTGCCTAATACGTTGTGAGGAAAATTTAATACAACAATACAAAAACAAACCTTTGGGGCTGGAGTTGTTGATCTTCAGTTTCCGGTTGATAGGGCTCACACCTGACACATGGGTCCCAAACCTAGACAAGGCAGTAGCAGATTCATCTTACAAAAAGTCACAACATTCCTCAATGATAAGTAACATTTACATTTGTTACAAACTACTACAAAATGAAAAAAAAAAGAATATTTCATAGTTCCTTTCATACTAGCTTTCCAGTTATGTCATTCATTATTTGAGTCACTCCAGACACAATTTAGTTGTGTTCTAAAATGTCTATCTCAGACCTTTTTATTCAAATAGTTAAAAATTCAAATTTTTAAAAATACCAAACTGTATCAATCAAAAACCAGTATTTCAATATGACAAGAAGACTGGATTTCTAAAAAAATACAAAAAAGAATTTACATCAGTCCATACTAATCATATATCTCATCCCATTTACAGTTACTGTACCTGACGACCGGCTTCTGCTCTGGTTGACCAGCGGTCAGTTGGAAGCTGAGAGGGCATCCAAGAACTTTCATGTCCATTGGGATCTTGACATCATCTAAATCTCCAACCTGTCCATCAAAGTTAAAGAAATAGAAATAAATAAAACACTAATACAAGTAGCAAACCTCTCTACCAAGATCAATCTTAAAATTTTACAACTTTATTGCTCGAAAATATCTGGAAGAAGGCTCTTGGCCCAAAAGCACTTCTGTGACCCCTGACTTGTTGTCTCTTTGGTTTTACTTTTAACTGCAGTTTTTCCAGGATTTAAAGTAAAACCTAAGGATGTAATCATATAAAATAAACGTTACTAAACATTAACAGGAAACAATTCTCACTCAACAGAATGAAAAGAAGCACCTTTGCATTATTTCAGCAAAACATAAAAGGCACAACTCATTCCAAGCTATAACAGTCTAACTTGCATAAAACAAAAGAAAACAAACACCAGATCTGTCAAGAATTTACCTTGAATATGAGGTTGTCATGGTAACTGCCCCACATGTCTGAGTGAGCCATGACCTCCACGGCCTGTTCCTCGAATGGTTGTAACATACCAGTGGCTGGAAGAACCAGGAAAGCAGCTCCTTTCTTCTCATGCAGAACCAGTTTGTTATAGTCTGAAATAAACAAGAATATAACAGGGTGAAGAAGCCTTCAGAAAACAAGCATACAGATACCATTTCATGTCCTCAAAAATCATCTAAGAGCTGATGAGTCAATGGCTGCCATGTTAAAAATCTCTTCCTCTTTTATTTTCTCTATGTTCCTCTATGAAAAGGTCAACTTTATGGGGAACTGAAGAAAGGAAATAAAAATTTTTAAGCTTGACAGCTATAAAGAACAGATCAAATTTAGAACCTCAGAAAAGTTGACAGACGGTCACAATTGACAAAAGGCAAAAAATCAGCGGACAGACATTAACTTCCAAATAAAAACAACATCCGAACAGATACCATCATTTCAAAAATAATCTTTCCATTACCTGTATACGCCAAATTTACCTTCTTTTGCTTTCAGGGGTGTCTTGCTCAGAGGATCCGCAATATTCGGAGTCCTGTTGAGCAGGTTTCTCCTTTGACTGTTAGAAAAGCAAAATGCAAACAAAGTAGACTGTCCTGTATTTTACTGACACACTCATAATACAATTCATAGTTGAAATGAAATTAACTGCGCACACTAAATGTGGCAAGTTCAGTAACCACTAGCAAACATATTATGTATGGAAACCTTGTTGCATTCTCACTGTTCTCATTTGTAGATATGCTTTCAAAGGTAAAGAGCATAAAGATGTGACTGAATAAGACAAACGTTACTGCATTTTTTTTTTAAAGGAGCAGAGGGTCAGCCTATGGCAGTTTCTGTCCCACAAAATATAAATACATAACATTGTAGAAAATAAAGACACATGAGCATGCACACAAACATAAACATACACATACACACACACAAGATCACAAATGCAACACTCACATACAGACACAAATACAAATAATTCACATAGCTTTTTTAATGAGAGCATGATGGACATTCTAAGATTCCATTATACATTTAAGAAAAAGACAAACCTGCGAGCTGTTTGTGTGTCCCCACCCTCTGGGGGTGCGGGCAAAGTCGCTGTGAAATGTTCCACTGACACCTTGAACGGTGCACAGATAGCTGTCTGGTTACAGATGTGCACATATCTCTTGACCGTCTCTCCTAGAGCATTCTCGTCACCAAAGTTCAAAAGCAACTCATCACTGTGGGTGGAAAGAAGAATAAAGATTTTTGCTTTCTGTCAGATATATTAGAGTTAGACACTCCGTGTATGATGCAGAAGATAATGTTTGTGCTGTGCTGTTATCTCTTGTCTTATCTGTGTGTGTGTGTGTGTGTGTGTGTGTGTGTGTGTGTGTGTGTGTGTGTGTACACGTGGTGAAACACCAAACCAATGTGCCAGGATCTGGACAATAAAGATGTATCTTATCTTATCTTATCTTATCAGGCATTCAAAATATGCTTTTGTTGCTACATCATACTAGATTGGTCTATTAAAATGCTGCTGTACAAAGATTCCTAGTTATTACCTGACTTGTAAGTAAATGTACAGATCAAACTTTTAAGTGCAGTTGGAAGGTATACAACTAGTTATGTCAGTTACTATTTTGGGAATACTGAACTTTTTTAATTTCATCTCTAATCAAAGCTTTGCAATGTTCTTAAAATGAATTACGCTAAATTCTGCATTTACATTTACAATTAAAGTGTCCTCAACAGAAAGATCCTACGACATTTGCTCAACTCAGTTTTTGCATAATTCAGTAAGGAACCCATTTAATACAATAACAGTCATTCAGTCTATGGTAAAACTAAAGTTAAATATAAAAAAGAAATATACAGTAGCCTGCTCTCAGAATTTTGGTACAGCCACAAAGTTTGGCGTCTCTCCCAAAAGTTGCTGAAAGCTCCACAGTGTGTCTTTGAGCAAAGCATATCAACCAATGTGTAAAAAACAGAGTGCAGCACTGTGGCAGCCATGAATGGTGTTTATGCATATGAAAATTCCTTCACTTGTTTCTGCACTTTAAAAACTTGATTTAATATCATCAGCACAATTGGGAGACATATTTTTTAAAGTACAAAATAAAGTGGTCTTGAGGGTTTTTTTCTTTTCCTTTTTACAAAGAAACGCATAGCAATGAAGAGGTAGGCTATTAATCAGCACACTTACCTGATGAGATGACTGTCTGTAGAGGTCTTGTACGACACAGCCAGAGTCCGGACATCACAGCTCACATTCAAGAACAGTTCTTCCTCCTGGCCACCAACTTTGCAGGGCAGTCTCACCTCAGAGTACGACATCTTAAAGAGGAAAAAGAAATCAGTGTCAGAAAGTTAGCTTTCTCTTTATTTTCCACAGATTATGGAGAAATCATAAAATTTTCAAACCAATTTCAGTGTCTTCAACCTGTCACACTATTCAAAAAGCATTAAAAAATTAAATACGGATTGAGTCACCAAAAGTGAAAAAAAAATCACATAGAATGTACCTAATTAGCTTAATAGATATATCAAAATCATGATGTGTACAGATTTTCATGTACTTATCTTGTCTTACCTGGTATTTCAAATCATCAACCCAACAGCTGAATCTGACAGCCTAAGCACACGTTTTTCTTCTGAGTGAACTCATAACCAAAATGACAATAGTTCTGCGATCCCATAATGCAAGAGAACTCACAAACAGGAGCCACATCTGCTTGTTGGCCAGCCACATTCACTGTCAGATTCCAAAACCACAAGCCACAAACTTGACCATTGGGAAGTTGCAAGATAAAATGTGTCTGCCACATACCTTTTGTTGCCACTTCCTCTGAGTAATTCTTTAAAAGGAGTTTGATCATTAATCAATATCGCTTGACAATAGCACAACAGATAACTCATCCTCTCACTTCACTGAAACAGAGTAAGCATTATTATAACTTGCCCAATTTTTACAACAGCATTTTGAAAACTGAAAAAAATCAATACGAAAGAATAAAAATCTTGGTGCTCTGAGAAACAGTCATATCCTTCTTTAGCATCCACTATCTCTTCTTTTTACTCTCTTGTTTTCCCTTTATCTCTCACTCATGCATTGTGGTAACAAAATACACACAATGTTCTTACCGCTTTCAATGGGGTGAAGGCAATGGCAACAGACTTCTGCTCCCAGCTTTTTATTTTGCCTTCAATCTCTTGGATTTCAATCACACAGTCATCTTTCTGTGATCCTTCGACCTGAAAAAGACAATTAGTTTTCTGTAAGTAACAACTGTGTGGCAAGTTTTATCCATTTCAATAATCAATGCCTTTTACACTCCTTAATTCTCTAAGGTTTTATGTTTCGTTTTTTTTTTAATAAAAGGAGATAGTGAAGGGGTAGAGGGAAGTCTATGAATTAAACACCTTACAGGATTCAAGACGTTATTTTGAAGTCAGCTCTATACAGTTGAGCTTAAGGAGGTCATACATTGCAAGACTAGACCCTTGGTTGACAGATACACATAAAAGAAAGATGGACAAAAGGAAAAGTAGATACAAACTGAAATAAATGAAATCTTCTTTCAAATACTTTTATTGTGTTATATTTTTATCCACCTTCAAGAGATAAGGAAGTCTATATTTATTTAAATGGATTCTGATGTGCAAAAAAATGTACATTCTCTACCCTTCTATACTTTATGGTCTATAAAAGGTTTCTTTCTTTACTGATTCTTGCTACAAGGCAAAAGACCAGAACTATAATGCATCCAAAACAAATTGCAGTGTTTCTAAGAGAATATTAGAAAATACACCTGACTTCCCATAAGGATCAGTAGTTATCTCTACATATCAAAGACACTGTAAATGTTTCACTATTAGGCCTGATATGCTCAAATAAATGGCATTTAACCATAGGTAAACAACAACTAGCACTAACCTTTCCCCACTTGAAAGTCGTGGGCAGCAGGGTCTGGTTGTGCAGCACAGCATTAAAGACAACAGGAACCTGAAGGTAGACCTCGGGCAAGAATTTGTCACACTCCAGCAAGCATATGATGGGCTTTTGAGCCTCCCCGTACACTCCAATGTGACTGAAAGTTAACAAGAAAGTTTAAAAAATAAAATAAAAACAAAAAACAAAAGAGGATCTGGAATATAGCTTTAAAACAACTATACCACAGCAACAAGGATAACTGTGACTTTCGAACATGGTATATTCCTCCTTCTTCTTTGAGAAATTCCAGGAACATCAAATTTCTGTAACAAAGGTTTCTAAAGAAGGATGAATTCTGTGAACAATTTCCAGTACATAAATATTTCTTGCAAGTGTCTGTGAGAGCAGTAGGATAACATGAAGCAACGAAAAAAAAGTTTGTGAATTTTTTTGTATAGACTAAAGAAAATATCAAAACAGATCACCTCAGAAAGACTTTTATATTCTATAACATGGCATTGGATCAATGGTCATGATCCCAAAGGTTACTGGATAGTGACAGCAACCAAAACAAATACAGCAACTAAATCGTTTTATCAGACTTGTGGTGATATCACTACAACTAATACTAGAGCCTGTATTTCAAAATGAGTATTTTATTTTCAGCTTGCAGAAAAAGTAGGAGATAAGAAAGTTAATTTCTTCAGAATTAAACCTTAAACCACGAGGAGATTGGTCTTATAGAGGTAACTCAATAGAATGACCAAACACAAAATGAGAATAGACATCTGCTTTCTTCTTGAAAAAAAAAATGGTGATCTGAACATACAACCTCAAATTGTATGGATTGAATTATCTAATTTAACGTATTCATACAAGGTATCTGATCCCATACAATCGGAGGAATCCAATAGTGTCCTTTTAGAAATTTTGATTTATAACAATATTACTGCATTTATTATTTTAATATTATTTCATTATTTTACTCAAATCAATTCTATTGTTAGTATTATTGTTTTTTATATTGATGTTATGACCGTGTTTCTTCTTCTTCTTTTCTTCTTCTTCTTCTTCTTCTTCTTCCTCTTCTTCTTCTTCTTCTTCTTCTTCTTCTTCTTCTTCTTCTTCTTCTTCTTCAATTATCATTAATACTGCCCTTTATCCATAATCGTGTTATTGATAAAAATAGACAGTAGCATAAATGATGACACTATAAGGGGGGGAAAGATGAGAAATGGTAAGGGGGGGGGGGGCAATTACAGCGAATTATGGGCGATTTCCAGGTTGAGAACCATAGATATGGGGTACATAGAAGCAGAACCAATAAATTGGCAAAAAGATAATAATATTATTAATCCGCATACAGGAAAAAGAGGCTAAAACAGCACCTGGACATGGATGGCTGGTGCCTCTATAAATAAATAATTGATGGTCAGGTCAGGTTCTTTAGCTCAAATGGCAACTGTTATACTTGACAAATTTCATTTTTTTAACTGATAGAGAAAATAAAAAGATCAGTGTGCATCATCTCATTACTGCTTCTTACCAAGTCTCCCCACCATCATACTCCACTTGCACGACACGTTTGACCGACCTCACGCAGGTGGGGGCCAGGGTCAAGGTCACAGTCCGTCTCTCCAGGGGCTTCAGTTCCCCTGACATCTCAGAGAAGCTAAGGTCACTGGCAGCCTGAGCAAACAAACATTCATGTCAGGTTTATTATTTAGATATGAGTCCTATTTCTTTTTTTTTTAGGGGGGACTTTCGTAAACAGAATTACAAAATGGTTGGTAGCTCTTTGTACTTTTACCAATGTTTATGACTAGTCTAATGATGATGATGATGATGATGATGAAGATGATGATGGTGACGATGACGATGATGACAACAATGATGATGATGACAAGGACAATGACAACGTCGATGATGACGATGATGATGATGATGATGATGATGATGATGATGATGATGATGATGAGTAGTCTTGTCATTAATATTCTTTTTTATATTCTGACACAGCCCTTAGTTGGGGAAACGTTGAACGTGTAAAATTTTTGAAAATCTTACAAATCTCCACCGTTTTTTGTCTTTTTGCAGTCAACAATGATGATAATGATGATGATGATGACGATGATGATGATAATGGGCCTTTCCAGATCAGAAAAATCTAAATCAATAGGCCTATTTATTAATCCTCCACCTCCTCCCCAACTCACTTATGGGAGCAACAACACAACATGAGACAAACTAACAACCCAGCAACATGTTACTCAGTACTCATTCACGCTGACCTTCTAAAACAGGACGTTCTCTTCTCATGCATCAGATACTATGAGTTAAGTCATTTTTCTTTTTCACAAGAAAGCACACAACAAACATGAACCAGCTATCTTTAGTCATAATTACCATGGAGTCCTCACACTCCTCTCCTGTGGGGGAGTCCACAATGTTGAACTTGACCACTATCTGTGACGCGTTGACAATGGTCATTTTCTTCTGCTCAGACTTGCCAACACGAACAAGGCCAAAGTTGATGGACGGTTCTTCGATTCTAAGCTCAGGACCCTGTGAAATCAAAAGTTTGACAGTCATTTACCTTGTATTATGAATCTATTACATCACAACGCAAAATAAAATAAAAATTTATGACGAAAGCTTGTACTAATTCATATAGTTTTGTCCTTCAAAACCCACTCATTCACATTTACCTCGATATATGATTTTGTGTTTAGCTCATTAGCTTAATTTAACCTTTTAATTCTGTGTTATCATTATCATGACAACCTTTGTAAACAATTTGAGTTTCTCTGATAAATCTATATAATATGTATTTTGACTATGTACAAAAACTGCTAAGGAAGTTTTACAAAGTAAGAAAAGGAAGCGCACAGATAAACTAACATCCACACTTACATTGAAAAAGTTTGAATTTCTTATAAAAATGATTCTTAAAACATCAGAGGAAATGTATGTTTTTAAAGAAATTTTCAAAAGAAAAGTAATAACCTCATGGATTTGATATCATCTGAATCAAGTTCTTAGTGATATATTCTACACTGTAAGTTAAGAAAGTGTACACGCTTATGTAAAGTACTGTTTCATACAAGAAAACAAAGCGATTATCTGTCAAGAGACTGTGATCGTTACCTTGAAGTGTGCATCCACGTGCAAATGCAGTGGTTCCGCCATGTTCATCACATAGCACAACAAGGTATGACTGATCTTCCCTGGTTCTATGCCAGTTATGCTGACCTCCAAATCCATTGCCATTCCAGGATCTAAAACCACAAAGCAAATAAAAAATGAGAACAATTATAACTGAGTAAATAAGTTGACTAACACATACACTCACACACACACACACACACACACACACACACACACACACACACACACACACACACACACACACACACACACACACACACACACACACACACACACACACACACACACACACACACACACACACACACACACACAAGTGCACGCGCTCGCTCGCACGCATGCACACACTTGCTTACACATAAACAGTCAAAAACTCAGCCACATTGACACAAATTTATATATATATTTAAGAAGTTTTTGCAATCAACCCAAAGTCCAAATGAAAGAGCATGCTCCTCTTCAAAATTATCAACATGGCTTCTTCCCATATTTAAACTTCTACAAAAACTCACTGCAGTTTATCGACTACTGCAGCCCACAAACTAAGTAACATTTCATCTTCTCACTTCTTACATAGAAACTTAGTCTCCACATGAGTAAGCTAACTTCAAGACATGGGATGAAAATAAACACAGAACATTGACCTGTTGCAGACAAATTGACCTACTATTTACCTAATTCCCCAAATGGAGGTTCAACTTCCAGAAGATAACTGTCTGTATACGGCTCCCACTGGAATGTGATGGCTGAGTAGCTGTGGTTAGCCATCTGCGAAAAAGATAATAAACAGCATCATCAATATCCTTGTTTACGTTCTGAAATCAGCTTGAACATTTTAAAAAGTACAAAGATGAAAGTGTCTATATATTTTACAGTCTCATCAAAGATACCATAGCAGGCTCCATTGTCAGTGTATAGATTCAAACTGTCAAGAACTTGAATAGTAAGGTATCATAAACTTCTTGAGAGTGGCTTTCTTCAGTGAGACACTGAATCAAGCTCAAAAACATATAAATCGTTTAAGGTACAACTGGTGTTGCAAATACAAAATAATACAGTAGGCCTACAATTCAATAAAGGTTTCTTAAAAAATGATCATATAAAAGTAGGAATTTTACTTCACCAAAGAGGAATAACCTTTAACATCTTCTTGAGTCAGGGGAGCTTGTGAAAATTTACTAATTTGCTCTAACCAGGTCACATTCTTTTCAAAATAACATATTTCTCATTTAAAATCAAAGGGATGATTTCCTTTAGAAAAGTTTCAGCCATTAAAACATTATCTTTAAAAAGTCTCTATGCACCTGACAAAGTAACTCGAAAAAAAAATGTATCTTCTCAAAACTTTTTTGAAAGTAAACTAAAACAAATAAACTCTGATTTACTCACCGTAAAAAGCCTCTTGATTGTAGAACCAACGAGAGATGGGGCACTCACAAACATGGCATAGGGGTGAAGTACTACGTTGAGAGGAATACATTCACCCTTAACTTCAACCTCTAGTCCAGTGATGTCACGGAAAGGCAAAACTGGTGAGGGCAAAGGATGAAATCATCTAAAAGCAGACTCGAGATGTCAGATTTCTAGCAGCCTTTTGCTATTCGTGGAGGAGCTTTATAGTGTACCAGCCTTCTACAATTGCAGATGGCTTATATACCCACAGACTTATCTGGCGATTTATATATATGCTCCCATTTTTAACATAAAATTTCCCTAGGAGAGAACTATTTCAAGGACAACTGAATCTAATCTAATATTCTGCATTTTTCTATTTACTAATTGGCCTCTCTTTTTTTAATTAAGAACACCCCATCTCTTTTGACCGAATCTCAATTCGACCCCTCTGTTTATATTCATTCATACTCTTGTAAGTATCTTCTGTGAAAACTAATAATTGTGAAAATTGTTTTACAGTTTCACTTTCTCATTTTCTATGTAACCAAGGAATCTTAAAGTCATTACTTTACATTGTGTTCAAAATTTCTTTTCCAACAGAACTTTACATTTGATTTGTTTCAGTCTTAAAGTGGAGCTTTATTTTCATTTTTCAAACACTTCAACGCATGCCAAGAGGGATTTAAAGAAAAAAGTGCTCCCCCTTCCTCAGTCAATGATTAGATAGGCCTATCCAAAACAATAAAATATCACTTCTTTATTAAAGCATTGCTTGAAAATTGGTACACGTCACTATTAAATTTGATCAACTAATATTTTTTTTCAATGAACACAAAAAGATCTCCTCTTTCATTCTTTCTTCAAATGCAATACCTTTCCTGTTTGGAAACTTAAAACACCAAGCGTTTGGCCAAAATAACTCTTTCATTAACCTAGCATTACTAAAAGAGTGGTATGCATTGAGAAAAGATAAGATAAGATAAAATAAAATAAGATAAGATAAGATAAGATAAGATAATACTTTATTATCCCAGAGGAAAATTTTTTTGGCTGTACAGAACCGTAAAAGCACATGCAGGTATACATAGACATTGAATTATATATTACTAATTAATTAATCAACATCATACGAAAACTGACCTCCTCCCCCTGAGAGAATGTTGTTGCTTTCCTCCTCCGTGTTACCTGCCACCCCCTCTGTGCTGCCGGGTCGGGACTGGCCGTCCACAGAGTTCACGCTCTCTTTCCGTGGAGGCACGTGCTGAAGCATCATGTGGACCACGCTGTGGAAGTTCCCCTCCTGCATACACACAGACAAAATATTAGATAATCTTACTCTTTTCATGAAAACTTACAACTGGTATCAAAAGAACATTCTGGAATTTGTCACTTGTAGTTAGCAGTGAGCAAGCACTATAAACACATACATTTTGCTGGGAACAGATTCAGATAACAGCCATACTGAAAAGAAGAAAGAGCAGATAACATAAACACACTGACCAAAAGCAAAACCCCACGCTTACCGAATGACAGTGGGCGATAAATGTCCAAACACATTATTGTATTTGGTGGAGGAGAATTCTGACAAAAAAAGAGTAAAAAAAACAAGGCATGAAAACAGTAGAAGGTAAAATAGAGTCATTCCACCTAATCTGACTCCTCCTTCTGTTATACTGTCTAATTAACTTAATCAAACTATTTGCATCTAGGATTTACTTTTCCCTTCAATCATTCCTTGATATGATGTTACCTGTTGAGTGTTTTATTCATGTCACTGCTAGACAAATCTCCCTATAAGGTCCAATGAAGCTGTCTTTTTTATTCTTTACTACAATCACTTACAGCTGGAGGAGCAAATGTAAATTTGAAGTCTGCGATTTCTGCTGGCTGCAAGATGCCATTGGTGGGGAATACACTGAATACAGAGTCAAGGTCAGGCACACGCTCTTCCTCAGAATGTTCTGCAGGCTGTGAAGAGGGCAAACAAGCCTGGGTATCCTTGGGCATGATGGGTTTGTATACCATCCACTGGAACGGAAGTTCCACCTTCCTATGAAATGAAGGAAATGAAAAATGCTCAGTGAGCAGTGACACACTTTCAAAGGGTATTTACACACAAGAATTTTTTTTTAATTTCGTTACGCATGAACCATTTGTTAGGCGAACTTGATAGGAAAGTATACACCTCACACTGATCACAACTGAGACAAAATTTGTTCACAATCAAAAGCTTTGTGCTAAAGCGAGAGAGGCTTATCAAACTTTTAATAAAAATGTCACAATTGTTAATGATTATAATAATATCTCATAAGGACATTATAAAAACTTAATTCACTTACGTGAAGTTGCATACTTTCACTGTCCTCTCTGTGTAAGTGAAAGGATTGAGATCATCAAACTTCAGAAGGTTCTTTGCAGAGACATCATTCATCTCATTCAGTTTTGGTTCAGACAGACCTCGCTCTACGCTAGCAAGACCCACACGAGCAACCTCTCCCTCACCTAAGAGATGGAAAATTGTGATAGTGTTACTGATATCGTTTACATTTTCAGTAAAAGGAAATTTAACTAAAAGCAGACAAATATATATTAAGACATGAAATACACAAGAATTAAAATCAAACCCTTTGAAACCAGTATTTCAAAGCTGTTGATGAATTCATTCTAAGAGAGATGCAACAGAAAAGGAGAAAATTGATATTTGGTTTTCCTTTGAAACTAAAATTTTCCCTTCCCATGCACCTAAAAAATGATAATTTTTTAAAACCTCTTACTTCATTATGCACCATTTCCAGTCACAGCACAAGAAAATGAACGAGTTATAAATGAAGCAGAAGAAATATTGGTAGATAGAAAGGGGGAAAAAATGTAGATTTGTTGACCTTATTTTAATTAACATGAGTCTACTTTAATGATCAATCAGAATCATGGCATGTAGAGCATGTCCACACCTGGTCCCCTTGCCGGTGACATAAGCAAATACACCTGACCAACATTCACAATAATTGAGCTAATGATGACATTTTTCTAAACTACATTTCTTTTGCTTCATTATCTAGAGCCAGTCTTTGTGAGACCACTGATTTTAACCTCAAGCTACCAATGTGCTTCTGTACTTAAAATTACGAAGAATACAACTGACACCAATAACAGCTCTGCTTCATTTGATCAAAGCAAATAATGCACCACAGAATAAAAACTTACCTTTGATCTTGAAATGTGAAGCGTGACAGTTGTCACAAGCAATCGTCATTTCTTGCACATATGTTTTCTCTGCCTGAGGGTTAAACAGCACTTCCAGCACTGTGGACTGGCCTTTGCCCAGCTCAAAGGTTGCAGGGTGTATCTCAAACGGAGGCTGCTTGATGGTAATCTTTGTGATGTTGGGGATCACAGTCTAAGCACCAATTTTTTTTTAAGATAGAAAAAATGCTACATTAATCACAAATAAAAGAAACGTAATTTTTTCATTTTGGGGAAATTTTTCCTTCAGTGGTATGGACAAAGGCATTCAGATTACATATACACAATACCGCAACAGAATTCTTGCTAATGACACTACAAACTTA